TGATGAAGATGAAATAAATACCAAGACATCAATAACAACGATCAACACTTTTACATCAATTAACATCTTTCAAATTTTATCAAATAAAATTTTGAAGCATGAGATAGCAAATCGAAAATTGAGTTGAAATAAATTTTGTGCGATAGGATTTCGTTTATGCTGTAAAAGCCGATGCTTGTATCATGGCAAGCGATAACTTCGTGACCAAGTTTGGAACTTATTAGTATCATTAAGACTGTATACATAAGACGGCCAGAGTAAAGCAAAAAAAAATCCCCAAGCATACATCATTAGAAGAGAACCCAACAATCAAGAGGCATCGAGACCTTTAGGCACAACATCTATCCCTAAGCATTCACAGATCTCCAAAGGGAACTGACAGTAGTGTTTAATAGAGTTCATCAGCTTATTATACTTCAATCATTGCTGGAAATTTGTATAGCAAACAAGTTGCTTGTAGCAGACATTGAGCGGGCTGTTGTAGAATTAGAAAGAGGCATCATTTGCAGCTGCTTCGAATGCTTTCAGGATCACCTCAGGAGGTTGGCCACCACTGAGCTTGTACTTCCCATTTATCTGATGGAAGAAACAGATCATGGGGTAAGTATAAAGGAGTCACAAAAGATCCAGAAATAGGACAAATGAAATGTTCAGTGAGAATCTCTTACCACATAGTGCGGGACTCCGTTGATACCTGAGGAATACTTTTCAAATTCTTCCTGGACCTTTTGAATAGCAAAGCAAATAATTTTGACAAATAGTTTAACCACAAAAATGAAGTCAGAAGTTTAAAGGAAATTGAGAACAAATTGTTATTAGCATCACACCTCCTCGATCCCCTTTGTAGGGTCTTCAAGCAGTTCTGCTGCTCCTCCTATGCCGACTTTTTGTGCAGCATCCAAAAGAACTTGCCTGTATGTTATTGCTTAAGATAACCATATTCACAAAAAAAAAAAAGAACATCTAATCATTACCGTTCATAAACACGAAGTACTCTACAATAACTGTTTGTCATGAGATCCAAGAAAAGAGTATGGGAAGCATCAAGCACCCCTTTCTCTTTCTTTTTCCAAGGAAAGAGCACTAAATAATTTGTTCGTTGGTGTCACTGTAATATTAGGGCAAAAAACAAAGGCAATAAATTTTTTTCTATTTAACATGAATAAGGCAACTTCTTTCAGAGTACATATTAGGGGAGAAATCAATAGAAAACCATCAAATTTTATCATAAATACAATAACAATTTATTTTTTAGTTGATGGAAATCAAGGTTTCAAAGAAGTCATCATTGACCACAACTTGCAAGCAAGATGCTTTTTCCAACAGTAACACTGATCACCTTCAAATAAATACTCAGCTTGGCACAAGCATGCACCAAACAATAAGAAAGCATATAGGTGGTTGTTTAAATAACGGCTATTATCTACATTAAATTACATATCAAGGAAAAACATATTAAACTCTTATATAAGAATAAACTTTTTTTTTTTGCAAAAGGAAAATTAAAAAGCTTGAACAAACTATTTACATTGCAACCAATAAAAAGAACTCCAAATGGCCCATTGCATAATTCCTTTCTCATTGTTTAGATATTTTCATACCTATCTCCAATATACTTTCCCTGACAGAAGTAATTGAGAAACAGCTCCTCTACAAGAGCATTTTGTTTGTCATAGCCTTGAGTTGAAGCATATGTTATAAGCCTGTGGCTATCCATTGTATTTCCCCTGAGTCAACTTGTGTTAATATAACCATCTTAATGCTTATACTTAGCAAGTTCAAAACTGTCTGATCCACTTACGTCAACCCAGAAGTATCATACTGAAATCCAAGGCTTTGAAATACCTGCAACACAAAAACTCTAAGGCCATACATATTGACTGGTCATATAAGCAACTAAAATCCAAACACAACAACTGCAATATAACCTTTGTCATCCGTGAGATGATTCCCTCATATTGTGCAGGCCCAAACTTCTGTTTATAAAAGTCAGTCTTTCTCACTCCTTCTTTTGGTGCATTGGGGTTGAGAAAGAATGGATGCCACCTTACCTGATGGTGAGAAAAAACATGAAACATTGAAAGGAAACATAAAAAATAATCAAAAGTAGGTAAATGAAGAAAGGATACATGGATTCAACTTGGAAGGATAAAAAAAACCTCAAAATCAAATTGATCCTTTGCTGAATCCATAGCCTTTTGAAGGTTCTGCTTGCCCACAAAACACCAAGGGCACACTGTGTCTGAACTAACATCAATCTTGATTACCTTCTTTTCACCTATTGAGTGTGTCATGGATCCGATATAGCTGCATGTTTGACAAAGAAATATCAATTTTCATCTTCACCTAAGATTAGATAAAACAATCATATCGCTATAACCAACATAGTATAAAACAACCTAATTTTTTATTATTGAAAGTTAAACTGAAAAAATTGCAAGATGCCCCCTCAACTGAGTCTAATTCCTGACTAACAGTGTTAAAACAACCCATTCAAAAGCAACATCTTCTACTTGAACATTGATCTAATCTAAGTCCTATAAATAACAGCAGCTTACATGCCAAAACCAGATCAACTTGCTCTTCCAGTTAAAATTAAGGGAAGGAATTTTTTTGCTCTTTCAAGCAAGTCAGCCTAGCAACTTTTAAATACAATAAATGTCAAATTTTATAAAACAAAACAACATCTGAATTATCAAAATTAGTTCTCAAAGTAGTTTTCTAGCACTAACTCAACCAATTACGCTAGTGAAGAAACTATTTGAAATCTGCAATAGATGTCAGACAACAGTGTTCTCTCTTTTCTCTCTAATAGTGGTCCTTGCACTTCATTGGAAAAATATTTCATTTCCCAATAGGAATCGGCAAGAGGTATCAGAGGTCAATAATGGATTAGCAAATTATCCACAAACTACTATAGCTCTAACAGATCTCCATATTTCAATATTATATCATTTAGTAAAATCTCTATATCATAAAAAAAATTAGGTGTTTCCCATTTGTACCTAGTGTCTTACCATATGGTTATGGTCATAGGAATCAGATATCAACACACGTTGAAGTGTCAGATGCAACAAGGAGACATTAAGGGATGCAAGGAGAAAGTTGATAAGAGATTTTAACCTATCTTACATGTTAATTATGCTCCATATTAAGAAATCAAATCTCAAAACCAGAACCTGATCCTTAAACAGGGCTGATAAATCTGACTCCTTAAGGTCACAGTTTGTAAGGTGCTTGCAGTAAACCCACAAGATTCCTGAGAACCAAAAAAAGTCCAGTACTGTCACTTGATATTCAAACACTATAATCAAGGATGGTGATAAATGTTTAAATTGGAGACATGCTTTTGTGTCCAACATGATCCGAGTGGGTTGATTCATACTAGATGTGTTGCTACCTAGACAAAGAGTACTCTAGTTTATATGCTTTCTCGACTGAGTTTAGGAAAAATAAACTAGACAAGTCCAAATTCGATTGAAGTGAATAGTTCTATTTTTATATGTTCCTATAACTTCTTCTCTTTCCTATTCTTCTATGAACCATAGGTCTTTAACCTTGTTTTTCTTTTAATCAGAAACAAGAAAAACGTTAAAAAAAATAGAAAAGAAAATTAACCAATATCGTCAATAAATTCAGTCCTCTGATATTAAAGTTTGCGTTTCAAAGAAGAATTCTCTAGAAAGATCTGTTTGGAAATCCTAAGTAGGTAAAGGAATACAAGATCCCTGTTTCCTCAGAGCTTACGCCAAAAGGAGGAACTCCAGTGCATCGATTTTATCTAACAAATTACGCACATAAATTTTAAAAAAAATCGATTTTTTTATTCCCCTTAAAAGGGTAAACCGAACAGTTAAACACTTGGATCAGAGCAAATTCCTATTTTATACAGATTTCAATTTTTAACCAAGTATCCCAACTACAACCTAAATTCTCTTTTATAGATAACGAAGTATAATGTTTTCTCCCCTGTGATACATGATTTTGCATATCAAAGAACAGTTTGCACCAAGGCTAATTAAGAAACCCTAAACAGGAAAGGGAAAACACGATCGCCCTGTTTTCACTGAGATTGCATCAACAGAAATGGCTGTTTGGCTATTAATTTTTTTATCGAACAGATTGCCCAGTGGAAACTAATACCAGCGCAGATAGATTCAAAAAAAAAAGGTCTCCCGAAATCCTACTAATAAATTCAATAGAAAAAAGAGGGGGAAGAAATGAACCTGTGGTTGGAAATATGCCTGCAACAAAAAGAGGGAGGGTCGACGATGGTGTTTGGTCGTGTCGTCGTCTCTACTTGAAGCCACGCGGTGTCAGAAAGCGGTAAACGGCAGTAGGTGGCGGATGTTGCGGTCGCCATGAATCGGTCAACGTAGCCGTCGACTCGACAACCGCTCGCGTGCGATCTCCACCGCTCGTCTGAGATGATCTCGGAAAGAAGGGTCGCGAGACTGAGACGCGTGGTGGAAGCAACGCGAAGCATGAGGAGCACGTGACAACAGGAATCTTCAAGCGGTTGACGATAAATTAATCTGTGAAGGTTGATTTTGAGTACCACCAATCTTGGGATTACCGGATCAATAATTTAGGGATAGTATTTTTTTTTTCATAAATGATAAGTGATGTAGATAAGATGGAAACTCGACATCTTACTTAATAAACATAGAAATCCTTTAGACATCCTCAAAAATTTTATCAAATAAAAATTTAAATCTTAAAAAATAATATATATATATATATATATATTAAACTCATTTATCAGGAGTTAAACATTTTACATGTAAAATATTAGTAAGATGGTGTACCAAGCTCCCTCACTTATCAAAGATCCATAGTTTAATATTTTTATTTAATAATGTTAGTTTAGTTAGTAAAGATATTGATCGAATTCATTTCTTAAAGTATCCAAATTATGTTGAATTTTTAAAATAAATATTAATTAATCATTTAATTAATATCGATTTAACTTAGAATACGGCTAGTTTAGTTTAGCTGTGGGTTGCACGACACAGATCACCAAAGAGGTATACTGGTAGGGTCACGCAGCCTCGCATGGCACATGAAACGTAACTGGTGGTAGCGCTTGTCATGAGTTGCTGCTTCCATCAAACTGAAATCCAAGCGCTTGGATTTGCTCTCTATTATATTATGCCTTCTTTCCGCATAATATAGAGGGCAAATCCATATTATGCTTTCATGAAACTGCATACATAATATGAAGCTCTTTTTCTTGTCAATTTACTGGTAAGGTAAATTTACAAGAAAATATCTTCTCTCACTAGGACCTATTTCTCCTTCTCTTATAATCCCGTCAAAGTGGCTCCTGTATCTTGTTCATCTTACTTAGCATTGGTGACTGTAAGATAATATCTATAATTATATTAGCCTTATAATAAAAATGTTATTTGTCGTTTATTTTCTTCACTTAGTTTTCCCCTCCTAAATGAAATGAATCGAAAACTTTAAATTAAGATAGAAGCTGCTGATGCCACAACGCCATCGATCCTACTGGAATCCAAACGGAGAAGGCAAGTAACAAGGCTTGCTGTTTGCATAGTAGTCTAAAATAGTATTATAGAGACTTGCTGCTGCCTTGAGATTTGTTAGAATTGTTGAACCAGGCAGGCATGTGATGTAATGAGGTTTATATTGGTGAAAGACAGTTGTGTATGATGAATTGCTTTACTATGTTAAAACAAATAAATTTAACTAGAGCTTGTTGTTGAGTGGCAATAAATTAAAGAGCTTGTTGTTGTATCATAAATAGACTGGCACAAAGAATAATTTACAGATGATGATAGGTAGGTTTTTTAAGGTCCCAATGACTTAATTTGAGATACTAACGGATGCCGACGCAAAAGTACCACGACAGACATACCAGGACGAGACTCGCACTGCTGGAACACCGCGTCTCGCATCATAGCAGCATTGTCTTAATCGGCGGATGCGTGGGCGGACGACATGCCACACTTAGCCGTTCAAATGGCTGAGCATCCATGGCGGCAACAAGCTGTTGCTGATCCGTACCTGAGGTTGTTGTGCAGCAGCTTCTTCGGCGCCCACGGCTGCCCTTCCTTGGTAACATCTGCGTCACAGGATCAAACTGTCTTAGAAATATGGGGGTGATGATCTCAATACCAGATGACTTCATCATAATTTACTCATTTTAGCAGAAGACAGCTATAGCTGACATGCCAATCTACGTGATTTCAAATGATTAATAAATATAATGATATCACAAGTGTAAAATCAATTACACAAATTATGCATGTCTTTGTTTTACTTCGACGAATCTGATGAATATGGTAAACCATTGGCAGCAATGCCTAAACCACTATTTCCGATATATATAGGATGGCAAGCTTGTGTAGTTGTCAGTCAATACCCGATATTTGGAGGAGGAAGAGGAGGAGCATCGGTTATTAACAAGAGCGGTGACAAGGACTTTGTTTGGGCTTGTTCCCAGCGTGCATTTTGCGTGAGAACCTTGGCCTTCTGCTTCTCCATTATCTGTTTCGGATCACGATATAGGTGATTACAGTGTAGAGGAGATGAATTTACTTGGGCAACAGACAATACACTTACCTGCTTCTCCAAATTCTTGTTTTCCTCTTGCAGTGTCTTCTCCTATACGTAAGAAAAGGAATGATGTCATGAATTTAAAGCATGGAAATTCTATGGGAGTTAGCTTGACAAAGAGGGGGAAAAAAAAAAAAGGAATATACTAAATCATCATGCACGGTAAATGAAAGCACCAAAGAGAACTTCAAATGTTGGTATCATCTATAGGCAAAACCAACTTTTATCTGTTTGCATTCAGGCAAGGTTCTTTAGTTTGCTTCACTAGACTATGAGACAAATGGTCTCATCATGTTTAGTAAAAGAAGCTTTGATTCGTAGGATTAACAAATTAAGTTGACAATTCATAGCCAAATGCAACTCTAGCATGCTAATATTCTAACAGGTAAATTGAGCACAGAAATAATATGCTTCCGGTGACCATATGCTGTAATTATTAATCACTTGTCTGTAAAACTTCAAAAGGAAAATTGGGTAATAGAACTATAGATCCCTTTCTTAAAAGAAAGGATACGAGTATATAATTTAGAATGAAGTATATTTATTTGTGCATGTAAGCTGGACCACCTATGAGATCGTTTGAACTTACTCTGCAATCATTCTGTTTTAGAAAGATGGAAATAGGTGCCTCTGTCGATTTTTACTGGACAAGATCAATTTGTTCTCTGAAGATATCCTAAGCTAGTTATCAAGTAGCTCCTGCAAGGCTACCAGAAGATGTCACCCTTAATGCAGATGAAGAAGAGCTTGATTTGGACAATAACTTATTATCGTTCGTATAGATTATAGAGCCTCACGTCATGCTTAATCATTTCATCAAATTGAAAAAACAAGAAATTCTAGGTAATCTAGTCTGTAAATATTTGTTATTATTTATGACTATATATGTTACCCTTTAAATGAATGTCAAGGTTTACTGAAAGAACTTACTGTATTGGAACATTCGTATCATGTCACATCAATCCATATTAGACATGCATTATGGACTAAAAGCTAAATGTTTTATACTTACCATATATCTAATTTTAACAACTGAATACTCAGATTTACATGTTTAGTTGTTGCCCTGTGCTTCATCTTCTTAAACACGGTAATTATTGGCGATAAATTGAAACTACAAGCAGGATAACTATTTGGTCAGAAACAATGCTAATGATGCTCATCACCAGAATCAGACCACAATGTATCAAATATGATAAGCTTTTAGGCCACTAGATAAGCTTATATGCATAAGGACGACAACAAGGTAATAATCATGGACAAAATCAAGCATGGTTGCAGTTCTTTTACCTTTCTTTCAAGCTCAGCAATGGAGTCAGATAACACTTGGTTCTGTACCATGAATAAAAGGTATTAATAACTTGAAATTCTCCGGTCACTATACATCATTCGTAGAGCATATATCTTATCTAATAAATATACCTGAGATTAGCAAAAATTATGAGATTTTACCTTTCTTGACCTAATAAGCTTCAGAGAATTTTCAAGCTGATTCTCCAGTTGTTGCAGTTCTTTAAGATTCAAGGAGTCCAGTTGTTCTCCCATTAGATACCTGAAGGAATTGTAATAAGTCATCGGTATATCACATGGTATGCAGCTCTTTAATTGTGATCATTTTCTGATTAGAACTCTTGTTTTTAATCATTATCAATCACCTTTGACTTTTGCTTAAAACCTCAACCTTAGCCTTAAGCTTGCTGTACTCTTGACACCAGTTGCCCTGTGCAGTGTCCAACAAAATGTTAGTGGTTTACAATTTGCTTGTTGCTTGAAATTTATTGTTCTTAATCTGTTCTATCAAGACACTCACGAGTAGATACCACAAAATGATGCAGCAATTTAACGGAATTGTGTATCAAGTCCTAGGCACCCAAATACTTCATATAACTGTTCTACCAAGACACTCACAGAGTAGATACCACAGAATGATGCAGCAATTTAACGGAATTGTGTATCAAGTCATAGGCACCGAAATACTTCATATAACTAGTCTAAAAGCCTTTTGTATTCACACTAATATCAGAAGACATCTAAGTCCTTAGCTGTATCAGAAACAAATGATTATGCAAGTTGATGATGCAAATGTGTAAGAAAAATCAAATGCAATTTACACTCTTGCATACACTCTAAAGGATAAAAGGACAAATGCTTTCTAGATAATACAGGTTAACTACAAAATGTTTTGGTGTCCTGAGAAAAAAAAATGTCTTCGATTGGAGCAGCACTCCAGGCACAAGAAACACACTACAGTTGATCAAGTGAACAAGAATGCAAATCGCATACTCATGAAAGGATTCTTCTCAATAATAAGATATCAAGGACTCCACTAGAGAGTTCACATTCATTTTGTCTGTCCATTGTTCCCTTCCATTATCTTGTTTTGCTCCACATATTAAACAAAAGGATTAAATCTTATCATGTCTCCTCCAATTCAATTTTTTTCTCAACATATTATACCTGATAATGTATCTTGAAAATTTTCTAGGTAGATATTTTGTGAGCTCATTTTGTTTAAGAATACAACATCTTCATTCTTTACATAAAACCATACCATATTATACTCATCTCTCCATGAGCTGTTGATGCTGTCATTTTGAACATCTTAGGCAATATAATTTTGTGTGCCTTTTACATGGTAAGTACATTGTAGCCTGAATGCTTTTCTGTTGACTGATTTTGATGGAGGCCTTCAATTTGATGCATCTAGTTCTTCATTTCTACATCCATGTTTCTGCCTCATCTTCTAATCCAATAAAGTCAGTCAATCCAATTTTAATAGACTGGACTGATTTGGACAGTCCTTTCCCTCTAATAGCACTTGCTTCTATATGATGAATCATCAGAGTATGCTCTAAGGATGGTGATTGTACCAGGCTATTCATGTCTCTAGCCGGATGCAGTTTCAAGCTCGATTAAGCTCAGTTGAAATTTAAAAAATCTGAGTTTGAACAGCATCACTATACTGGTTTCAACGAATGTTTTTCTAGTCTTGGAAAACAATCTATCTTGTATACTTTCCAACAATGTATTTATGCATATAGAAGCTTCGAATAGTGAGTTCAGTTGATAGTTACAATGAGTCTCAATTAGGCATGAAATAGACATAATTGATTTGACTCTTCCGGCCTCTTGATATTAACCTACCCTAATTTGTTTAAATTGACTCTAACGAGGTTCAATCATCCAAACTGTCTTATTTTGGACTCATAATTACTTTCAAGCTAAGTTTGAGCATGGGCAGGCTTCATCAAGCTTAGCATAATTACTCCCTAGAATATTATTATTGAATCTCCCACAGTCAACATCAATACCTTTTATTGTCTAGATTGACCAAATAGCTGAATGCAAACCAAACTCAGGGATTTAATTTTCTTTAATTATTAATTTCATTTCCTTGTCAAGATAACTAAGTTTGCCAAGTATGCACCTAAGCCTAAGTTATCTAGACCTGTGGGATAACTGAATTCAACTGTTTTTTCAAAGGTGGTAGTAGCAAGAAATGATAAAGAATTTTAGTATAGCATCATTTGAACTCGTTGGAATAATACCAAACATGACCTCTTTCACATTATTAGTGGACCCCCATTACTGTTAAAACACAATTAGATATCCCTACTAATATGTGAAAGAGGTAATGAAACACAGATAGGAACACGTAACAATAAATGGTTTAGAGGTGCATGAGTTACATATGATGCATAAATGAGCAATGACTTCACTGACCTGAGATTCAAGATCTGATGAGACCAGTGCTTTTTCAGCATAAGAGTACTGTTCATATCGTTCAAGAATTTTTTCCATACTGTAGAAATATAACTTTCTTAGCAAATAGTCATGCTTAATTACAACTTATGAAAGAGAATGATGTCCAATATACATCAGTCACTTTTCAAAATTAATCAATATATTTGATATTATCACAAATTTATAGTAAGATCTTGCATAGTTTAAACAATTTAGGATCATCATTTGTACACACAAACGCACACACTTAGATATTGTGTTATTGCATATATACAACATTTTTAAACTGCATAAAAACCATGCACTAAAGGTATTCACATATATAAAATAAGTTAAGGTGATTTCTCATATCCATAATAAGTCAAAAGCGTATCCATTCTAGCAGTCTTAATAAACAAATAGCATTTTGCAATTGACATAGGTACCATTCGTGCATATAACATCCTCTATCATAAACAAAATTTATGATACATATGTATTCAAACATTTTTTTCCGAAAAATCCCAATAATACTGGAAGATATCCAGAAAGAACATGTTCCGGCACATACATGGTATAAGCAAATAAGTATTTGAAGTATCTATTTTTTGTAGTTTCAAATCTTAATCTTAAAGTCATCACAAATACACAACATATTTTTATCAAGAAAATATTGTGGTCAACTAAGTACAGGTTGACTTTAAGTCAGATAAACAACAGGACCTAATTGAAATATCAAAATGTGCAACCAAATTGTGACAATTGTCGCAATTCTCCAAGCATCAGGTTCCTTAAGAACTCAGTAATTTGAAATTGAATTACCTTAACATGGCATATGAATGGGAACAGGAGATATTTATTTATGCATGGTGGATTAAACATAAAACGCTTAAACGTATCATTATGAAATTGAATTTAAATGAAATATGAACTTATTGCTACTTGTTCTATGAACTTTATGACATCTTAAGGAAGAACAAGCTATAAGATGAGAGCTTTGAAGAATTGCTTTAGTGTATAGTTGGAAGAACTACCATATAAGCTATTTATTCATTAAGTTAGTGTAATTGTATAAAAAGAAAATTAAGATTCTCATATGATTTTTTGTTAATTTAGAAAAAATATGACTAAGTTCTTAGAGATTTATAATGACCAATCTGGAAATGATAAATAACATTTAATAATTAGACTACTGTATTACAATATGACTATGATACAATAGTTAGTGTTAAGGATGTAGAAAAATGCATTTAGTGAATTCTTTATAGCCATAAGTTTATTCCAAAGATAAATTTGAATTTCTTATCATTAAACATTGATGATGGACAAATTTATTCATACTCAATGGAAATCCTATGGTATATGTTCTTTATGAATAATATCAGATTTCTTGATGAGAGTTGAAGCTTTAGATTGCTTTCATTTACCATAGAAAAGGAATGACAAATTGGTAACAAATATTATTCAGACAATAAGTCATATGATTAAATTTAATAGTGGCATCAATGTGAGATGTGATCGTATTATTCTTTTATATGACAAGAATACAATGTATAAATATCACTCATGCTTATCAACTAAAGTGTTAGACAATTGAAAAATAACATATAGGAAATGTTAGTACAGATGAAATGATTATATTGAACTAGATGTGAGATTACTGTAGAAGATAGAATAAGAGGTATATTCATATAAAAACAATTAATTATAGCCCCCTAGTAGAAGATCAGATAAAGCAGAATTTTATAGAAAATATAAATATGTTCAGATGTGACTTATAGATATGGTGATTAGATGAGATATATGAATTAGAATAAGAAGGGATAGAGACAAAAAAAATTACTAAATAAGGATGTCTCCTGCACAAAATTCAATAGAAGAAAATGATGAATGCAAGCTGATCCCAAAATGCAGAACATTATGGATTGTGAAGTCCTTCTACTATTTAAATGGAAATTAAACATGTTTTATGTATATTTCTCTAGAACAAATATGCCAGAGACCTTTAAGGATATTTTAAATCACAAGTGATATTTCTTTCCATTTCTTTAATAATTGGGTTGCTCAGGTATAGTTAAATAAGGGCAAGAAATCATACTCCTCTAAAAGAAAATAGTTTCAATTGTACTGGGATTATTTTGGGTCAGTACAAAGAAGCAACTTTATCAAGCTGAATTCTTGTAGACCCTTTATAACCAGAGAAAATGGTTAGGAAACCTAATCAGAAAAAAGTTCCTCAATGTATCGCATGCAATCAGATTAATTATAATAAAAAGTGTAACAAAGACCCGACATTGAATATAAAATAGAAAAATGGACACTGGCCCAACATGATTGATCATTATTGTGGTATTATAATATTCCACCAATATCTTATGCGAACAGGAGATTCAAGTTAATCTTCATATGGCATCTTCAATATATCTCCTGAATCGATTGTATTGATTCCAACGGTACAAAGATCTGCGAATCAAAACAGAGGATTCCAAATGACGTGTTAGATGTGCAATCAATGTTGGTCACCTTCTAATTGCACTAGCTTTTGACTATATATTAAAATTTAGTGAAGAATCTATGATGAAATTCACGATCATCTTTTTGAATATTAGTATTTGGGATCGTTGAATATCAGATTTTGATGATGAATTTATGGACAAATAAGCGTTTAAGATAAGTGGCGTAGGAGAAACTTCGATCATGAAAAGGTAAATCATTGAAGTAGGAGAATCAGACGTTAGGCCGGAGTTCATCATATCAGAGATCAGGCATCAGACTAAAATGTTCGAGCATTGCGCTAAGAAAATCAGATATTGCGAGAGATCAATATGTCAATGGATCGCGCAATATGCTAAAGGAAAGGATGATGTGTTGAAAGTTTGGATGAAGTGCCGAATGAACTGATGACATGTCGGACAACGTAGGCTTCATGATTGTAGTTGTTGAGTTTCGATCGAAGTAGTTTAGAGTCCAATTGAGTTGGTTTTGGGTATAACCATTTCAACTTGATTAAGAGCTCATTGGGCCTGAATCATGGTTGAATTTGGCCAGTTAGAAGACTAATTCAGTGACCTAAGGTTGGGCTAGGCTATGGCACCATCAGGCCAGACAGTGATATCGCCTATGAGCTAAAAAGTACGAATTGTACTTTTTCGAGAAACCCGACTATAGTACCACTAGAGTTAGTGATAGTACCATCTAGTGTCAAGCGATAGTACCACCCAATCAAGCGGTGGTACTGTCAGAACACAGTCTCCCGAGCTGTGTCAGGCAATGATACCGCTAGAGCCCTGGTTCTTAGGCTCTATCAAGCGGTGGTACCGCTAGTATCCTGAAAACCCGAGAATTTAAATTTTTGACTATATTTTTGAAGTCATTTGGGACATATAAATATCTTACTCATGCTTGTTTGATGTAGAAGAAAAAAGAACGAAAACTTATAATCGAAAGTATGTAAACTCTCTAGTAAAGTGTTAAGTCTCTTCCTCCTTGAGTTTAGAAGTCTTTCTAAGGAAGGTATAAGATTTCCTTATAAAAAAGATATGGGAAGGTTTTCTCCTAAGTCAATGAAAAAGAAAAAGAGTTCTAACAAAAATAATTAATCTTCATCTGTTAGAAAGAAAATCGATAGTGAAAACTGATAATCTCAGGGGAAAAGAAATCCGGAGTAGACGTAGGTCAGAACGATCGAACCAGTATAAATCTGATTTACATCTCTCTTTATATTTTTCTAGTTATTACTAAATAATTTAATTGCTCATTCTCGCACACATTTTAAGTTAAATGTATTTACGATTAAAATTTTCAAATCGGTAGTTGTCTAACTACGAAGCAAAAACAAAAAGAGAATAAAGAATTTCCAATTAAATTTGCAGAGAGATCATGCTCTAATAATCTACGCTTTAGGAAAAAGAAAGGACACAAAGTGAATGTCACTAAGGTTTATAGGGCACCAAGCTCTAGAACATTGAGAGGGACGGATTAAAGGAGTTAGAAGTCAGAGTATTCTACTCAAGACGACGATCAACAAATAAAGTTCGTAGTTTATTTAAGGAAATGGGTATGTTTCTTTCCTATTGGATATGACTTAATGGAGAGAGAAACAAAAGAACACTGATTCAGGAGAGTTTTATGTATCATTTTGTTCCCTTCCTCAGCTAAACCATGTCGAACAAAATCATGCATGTAATTTAGTCCTAATTATGACTAACCTCATTGGAACGTACATCTCTATTGCCATAAATGAAAACGTTCTGGATCTGCAATGTTGTTAATGCCACCATATCTAACCACGTAACTTAATTATATAAGTTATATTTAATAACATGAACAGTGAGTTATCTATTCTTAAGAATTGACCACAAGACCCTTTTTTTTTTTTTTAGTAATATCTGTCCCCAACTAGTCCATCTAGGGATCATAATAAAATTAGGAAATAACAGACAATCAGTTCTTTTACGTGGGCACAATTGTGGGTCAACAAATTACATTCTTAAAGGAAAGATGATTAGAAAAAATAAAAAAAGAAATCTATATTGCATTTATTATCTCAATCTTTTTTAGCGGCATATTTGATTGGCTCCTTTAGCTTTCTGCTTGTCTGTCTTCAATAAGATTACTAGGTTGCTTATGCCAATCAAACAAAGTTGTAATTGTTGTGGGCCAATTATGATCGTAACCTTTAGTTTATCATCATGCACTTATATAGTAGCAACTATTGAAAGAAGAAATATATATCAAAATCACTATAGAACTTCAAACATCTGAGAATATTATGAATGTTATTATTTGATGTGAGGTTCAAAAAGATGTGACGAACACCAAATATGTCTTATGTATTTTCTTCTATCTCTCATTGAATAGTCTTTTAAGCCATCATATGCCACTAAAGAATATACTAATGAAGACCAAATCAGAGGAAAAGAGGAAAATAATTCACCAGTGTAATCAATGCTGTGATAGTGAAGACCAAGATTCTAGCAGGGACATAAGTAAATTAATATACTATTGCAATCAATGCTGAGATAGTGAAGTTAAGCAATCTCCTAATCACAGCCATACAATGTCGTTAAATGTGGAAGCCAGAATAGCAAGACTTCACTCTCATTTTGGCTGTGAGAGTCGTACAAGCATATATGCTCCAAGTCCAAACATGAGGACTCCCACAGATAACTTTTTCCTTCTTGTGAGATTTCGATCAACCTCATTTATCTTAATAACACTTTGTTTAAACAATCATAGCAATATGGATAATAAGAATTAGACCAGGCAAAAATAGTCTAATATGAATTAGCTATTAAATTCTAGAAAATATATCTAAATATTGCAGTTCTCTAGATACCTACGAGATCGTAGACATTCAGCCGTCAGTGTCATGAAAATTTTCAATATTTTCAATTAACTTAAACCACCACATACCATTGCATAGATACCTCAATTTACTGCAGTCGCAATCTAACAAATTCTTGCAGCATGTTTTAGGGTTTGATTAATATAGACTGGATATATCTAATGCCCAGCCAACTTTCTGGGTTTATGTGCAGTCTTGAGCGTAGCCCCTATATCAGTTTCAAGGCTAAGCCCAAAAGTGGAGTTCTAATCCACGTCTATAACCAAGAAACTAAGTTCTGCTTTTAGCTCCTTCAAAGTGTTTATTTCGTACCTCAATAGCTTCACCACTGAATCTGCAGCTAATGGACAAATATAAATTGTAACAAAAGGTCCACTGTATTTTGTATCAGTTGCTTCGTTGTGAGCATGATCATTTTGGTAAAAGAAATTTCGTTACCCGTCTCACATCCCATGAATTATCAGGTTCTTAAGAAGAACGCCAGAATCGTCCGTCCTTGGCATCTTTTGAGGGACGATTCTTGTTTTGTTAAAGAACTAGCATAACACTGTGTTTCTCTTATTCTTCTTCCTGTACGCACTTCCTACTTCGCTAATATAATATTTAATTGCAGTGTTGGTACAAGTCATGACGAGAAAACAAGTGATAAGCTGTCATCTATTAGGTGACATCTTTTCTTTTTAGTGTAGTCCTTTAACCTAATATACAGATAATGCATGTTCAGAATATCGTAAATTCTCCCACATAAAGGTCAGCATGTGAACAAATTCTTCAAAAAAATATAGATCAATAGAAAAATCACAATGTTGCATTTTTCTCATTAGGATCTCATGGACAAAATAACACACCTATTAGTTGAGATCCTAGCAGCTCCTCATGTAAAAATTTACTCACTTTATATGTCCCTATGTACAGATTTATTGGAGCCTAGTAATTAAATGACGAATAAAATTTCTTCAAGAAGAATGCAAGTCTGGGTTCAAAACCAATGATTAGAAGTTATAGGAGAACATGCAGAAGGCATAGACAACATTTTCCAGAATTATGTTCAGGGAAATAAAGACACCAACGTAGACATGTGAATGGAAACGAAAATATCAAACTTAATATTCTAAATGGCCGATCACAAGGATAGAAGATGCTAAAAGAAAAAGGCTAGATCTACATCCACCATGATAGATAACGAATAGGAACTACAGGATCGAAATGGTGCAGAGAAGTCCATTCTTTTGGAGTAGATTTACAAACGAAGTGCCATAAATATGATTGAGATAAAGCATGTAATTGACATGAGTGTTTGCTAGTCGAAGCCTTTGCTATCCATTTCAACAAAAGGATGGAATGGCTGGAACCGGAACTAAATCTTGCAGCATCATTAGGATCTCGAACTTAAACCTAGCAACTAATTGTTTTTGAAACTGAGGTTATGCTAAAGCAAAGAAGAACAACAAAGAAACAGATTGAAACAAGTGGCTGATCATCAGAAAAGTAGGTGTAATTTGAATATAGGTTGAGTGCAGAGAGAACACGAAGAAGTTTTGAATCGCTACCAAGTGATTGATAAACGAATAGGTGCTTGGAACAGTAAATAATCAAACCATAGAATTGCTTCTAGCAACCCACTCTCTCTGGAGAACATGAACCGCTGAACACGATGAGAGCATTGAGAAGAATCGCACGGAAGACTAAATCCGTCATAAAAAGAATTAATCTCAAAACTTAGAAAAACATCAACAGTCACGGTTGACTGCCCTCGGAAAAGCTCAGCGGTCATATCACGGAGCGGAGAAGGTACAGAAGGGAAACCCGAGAAAAGAAAACTCTAGATCTACTCCAAGCTACAAATATGAGAGGATGGAGATCGAAAAGAATAAGAAATGGCATTTCGTGGCCGAAATAGTAAAGAGGAAAGAACGGTTTCCTCTCAAACGTGCACGCCCAGTGCACGATAGCGATGGCTCCCTTCTTTAAGATAACCCGAAATGTAGCGGCTCCTTTAAGCTAAGAGACAAACTTGTTCGATCGGGAGAGACATTCCACTCGACTCGAACAGGTCGCGACTCAATCTGAGAAAGCCGCATAGGAGGCCAAAACACAAAAAAACCCTAATCTCTTGTCGGGAGTACAAAAAAGAACACAAAGCAACGAAATGAAATCCGATGGATGTTACATTCGAGACAAGGAACTTTATCAAACGATGTAATGAAAGCATGATTTAAATCACAGTCCATCAAGCATGAAGTTACATTCTAAAAGACTACGAACTGAAGATCTACCCTAGGGTTCGAGATTAAAAAGCAGAAAACGAGGGAAGCGCGGACGCACCTGGCGTCGGTGGAGTACTCGTAGAGCTTGCCCTTGGTCGAGAAGATGATGAGGGCGACGTCGGCGTCACAGAGGACGGAGATCTCGTGGGCTTTCTTGAGCAGCCCCGATCGGCGCTTGGAGAAGGTCACCTGCCGATTGATCTTGTTCTCGATCCGTTTGAGCTGCACCCTCCCCCTCCCCATCTCGATCGATCTCCTTCTCAGGACCTATTCGAAGAAGGATTCTGGGTAGTGAAACAAAAAACACGGGAGCAGTAGCAATTTAAGAGAAGGGAGAGAGGGAGAGAGAAGGCGGTTGGTTTGGGTGGGGCGGGGCGGGGCGGGGCGGGGGAGTCAAGAGCAGTTTTGTAGAAACCAGGGTGGTTTCCTGGCAAACACGTTGTCGAGCGGTGATTGGTCAGTAATTGGCTAGCGAGGGTGTTTGTCAAGTGACCAGCCCGCCTATCATCGTACGGATCGAAGCCATCGTTTTTGATACATTCCAAATAATAATAATAATAATAATAGTAATAATCCTCTCCCTCTTTGTTTTTGTTTTTTGTTTTTGTTTTATTTTTCGTTACCTGTTCTTTTTTACTCCTATCCCAACGTAGTGAGATTTTTGTATTTGTCTTTTTTAAATTTAAATAAATATATACTATTTCTCAAAGATGTAATAACTTATATAACTGTTAACTGAAACTGCAGTCTATATTAAGACTAACTCCTCAAACACGCACAGTCGAACCGCATAAATGCTGCTGCATACCCCCATAAGAAGAGTGTTATATAGTCGTCGTCAACCCACAGAGAAATCACAAGTGCCACTTAATTTTCTATAAAGGACGAGATGGATGGAGGCCTATAAAATGATGAATGTGAGCAAAACACATGCATACCAAACACACGGGAATCTTCTTCTTCTTCTTGTGGTTATGACTCTCTCGGGTGTCGCCATTCTCACTTCGGGAGATGACTCAGACCACAACCTCAACCTAAACATAGCTCCCATCAAAAAATATAATGAGAAAAAAAATCAACTAAAACGATATTAACATGTTATGAGGAGATGACTGGGGTTAGTAGCTATAAATTATAAATGTAATTTTGGTTTAATTAGAGATATTATCTCTTACGGAGCTCAATAAGAGAAAAACAGATCTCTTAAATAGTTTTGCTATCTTAGATTTTGATTGTCTGTGCTTTTCATATTCTTGTTTGTTGCAAACCAACCCTGTGTCGAAGAAATAGAGGTTTAGTAGATGATCATGCAAAATTATTACTATAAACAATGCTCCAACTGACATTACCAGTTTAACTATTTTGTAAGAAATTATTAGATGAGGTGGATTGATTTGTCAAAGGAGGGAGGAGAGAGAACAGATAGGAAAATCAAAGACAACTTTGTTATTAGAAACAATGAAGATAGATTTAAATACTGTTCATTTCATTAAAAAAAAAATCAATCAATCAAAGGCATTGCCTTCTAAATAGACCGGTAACAATAGAAAAAAGGACAACAAATCCCAATATTTAGAATATTATAAAATGTTATTGTTGTGGTCCTAAGCACCAATGGACAATTTATACTTGTCTTTAGTGGTAAAGGACAATAATTCATACCTCCAGATTAAAGCAAGTGAAATTTTGAATATTTCTTGCCAATATAAAGAAAGATAGATAAAATCATTCTCAAATCCATTTAATTCAAGCATAAAGACGTAGACAAGAAGAAGAAGAAGAAGAAGAAGAAGAAGAAGAAGAAAGAGAGCACTTTAATATTGTTGGATTGGTGGATAGGTCTGACCATGAAATATCTTAGCGATGGAGGGTCGTGTGCATGAAGATATATTCTAAACATTATTCATGATGGTAAGTTTGTGTGAGTAGCAACCTAAAAGCAAAGTTGTGCAGCTAGATTTTGATTAAGATGAGATGAAATAAATTCGATGCATAATTTGTCTCTCATCATAAGAAAGAGAATTAAACGTTTTAGAGCTCAAAGTTCTTTTATTACATAATCCAAAATGCTTAAACCTAAGTTAATAATAATACTAATGATAATTGATTCCTTTGATCTTATATATAAATTCAGCTCTAAACTCGAGTGCCAAAATTTACACACACTTACGACCTAAGTTAATAACAGTTGATCCATATGGCCAGGCGGATGGTAAGTAAACAAATGGAAAGTTTTAAGTGCCTTGTGATTTTTTAGTGTTGCTTCGTAGGATAATATTGAAAACTGCAACATGTTAGCAGAAACAGAACCCACAACAATTTTTATTTGTGGATAAGTATATTCCCAAATACTGATTTCTAAACCTTGCATGTGGGTGAAGGAAACCCAAGGCTCAGTCAGTACCCTAAGAGTTAGTGTTGCTGCTTAGGATAATATAGAAAACTGCAACATGTTAGCAAAAAACCTGCAACATCTTCTTCTTTGGAGTGTACCTGCAACATTATTGTATCGGAGGTGTGTGAATCATTGGAGTAACTTGGCCACACCAAACAAGACACATTTACATGTCAGATTCTCATGACCCCACCCCCCAACAGTGGGAAGTAGGACTTTTGCACGGCATGACCAACTAATTGTGTCTGTGATAATAGGGAGCGATGCAGAAAGAGCTCGACGATGCTCTGCTGACCGCTGGAGGCCGCCCTATTCCAAGTTGGCACTCGACACTTGTCACCACTTTAATCATTCAGGCCCTCTTGAGATGCGTGCTAGAAGTTCATTGCATCTTTCGAATCCGTGCTATGGCACGCATGCAGATGGAGGGCTTCTGGCCTTCTCCAGCAATGTTAGTGGAGTTGGCGGGCGTCGATGAAGTTCTCGAAGACAGGAGCCGGGGAGTAGTACTGAATCCATGGGAAGGTAGGTGGCTTACCTTTCATTCATCTTGGACCCTATCGATCTCATCTTGCATCATGGCCTCAAGGTTTGTGAACCATTGGATAAAGAAGGTCTAATAGTTGAGAACTTAAATGACAGTTCCAGCTTCGGGTGTTTTCCTTTTTTCTACTTTTGATAAGACAAAAAGACAGTGAATATTAAGATAAGTTCATGATGAGTCAGGATCAAGTCGTAGGATAGGAGGATGACTTGGAAAGCCACATGTCAATTTCAAGAAAGAAACCAAAACAGAAAAAAAAAAGACTCTTCTCCCTACAATATGCAGACACCATGGTCGATGGAGCAAATTGAAAATGTCATGGTTCTGTCTGAGATTGGATAACTTAGATAAGACACCAATATGCTCATGCAAAAGTACTGATGCCATGCACGTTGTGCGGTCGTCGTGAGTTGATTCCCCCCGACAGACAATCCATCCTGTCGGTTCAGGACGAAACAACTCCCTCGTTAGATCCCTCGGAGGACCGAGAAGATCATCGGTCATTTCTTTCTGTCACCCATCAGCATGCGTGCAGCTTCAGACGCCACACAACGATGCACGTCTGGACTCGAAACGGTTCCTTTTGATCAGTAAAATAGTTTAGCAGATGGGTCTTCGCGATGATGGAAGAACACAGACACCATGCCCAGGATCAACAAATGCAGGACACAAAACCAGGGTGCCACGAAGACGATGAACTCATTATTATTATTATTATTATTATTATTATTGTAAAGATTAAGGTAATGAGATTCAAGAAAACAAATGGTAGATATAATTGCGGACATCTATCGGTTGTCCTTGGCGGGGCCATTGGGCACTTAGGCAGCTGGTTTCGGGGGGTTGAACTCGTCCCAAGCCTCGATCCATGTGACCATCGCGTCCGCAAGCCTGATGAAGTAAGGGTCGATGCTGGCGAGGTTTTCCTTCACGAGCTTGGCCAGTTCAAGGTAGCACTGCTGTGCCGTGGTGCACTCCTTGGGAAGGACCACCGACTGGAAGAAGGGAATGAGCTCCTCTTGCCAGAAGAGGCCGTTGAACTCCTTTTTCAGGTTCACGAATGGGTCGCTGGCCTTGCTGTGCCAGATGTAGGGCAGTCCCGTCTTGACCCCCAATCCCAAGTGATCGCACACTACCTGCACGTCAAAGTCGGTGCAAGTCATTCCACTTAGACGGGACCGATCGATGTGATCGGAATAACAAAACATCAAACGAGGAGTCAAGGTCTCGAATTTATCTCTGGATAAATAGAGATTCATGTAATGCTTTTAATATTTTTTTAATTCAAAACCCTTTGTTATATGTAAACTTATTGTTTAAACAAAAATTAAAGATTGATCATATATACATATATATATATATATATATATATATATATTGAATAGAAATGCCGACCTTGCTCAACCATCCAGCCAACATGTCGTCGTAACGCTTGAAGGGCTGGCCGTCACCCAAAAGTCCAAAGTACATCGCAGCGCCGATGAGTTCACGGTCGAACGCCAGGTTCATCCCGCACATGGGGTACAACGTCCCCTTGGGAATCGTGATCACCGCATCCACGTACCTGACATGAAAAGCCAGAGGATTTAGCCACTCCGGTACTCCTCCTCTGAGACGGTCCCCGCCCCCGCCCGGCGAGCGAGTTTACCTGGTGCTCCTCTCACGAGGCTTGACGAGCTGCGTGGGAGCGTCGTAGTCGGGAATGTTGAGCCACAGGCCATGCGAAACCGCCGTCGGAACACCACTGCGCATGCTGAAAGGGTACCCACGAACGAAGTCTGCTCCTTCGCGGTAGGGGTCGTATAGGGTGTTGAAGAAGAAGGGAGTGGATGGGGTGATGAGATTCTGGATGTGCTGTTCCACCGCGTCGATCTCCTTCCCGGAGGGATCCTTAGCAACCTGTTTGAGAACATCCAAGACTCCTGCTTAGAACCATTGCGACCCCACGAGAGGGTGGGGGAGAAGGGGCTCACGAAGCAGTCGTCGTCGATGGTGTAGATGTACTTCTTCTTGGAGATCAAGAAGCCGAAGCAGCGGCAGGCGGACTCCTTGTAGGAGATGCAGGAGGCCTTGGGGCCGAGGATGCGGTTGATGTCGTCCCGGTTGTAGAGATCGTAGTCGAACCCCTCCGGCACCTTGATCGTCTTGCTCGGGTCCCCGTCCTGCACGATGATGAGGTGGTACGGCTGGAAGAAGGGCCGCCATGACTCCAGGAAATCCAAGGTCCGTATCGTCGGGATCACGATGTCCACCTCATCCTTCATCAATGCCATTTCTCCCACTCTTCTTCCCTCGCCACCGCCATCCGTTGTCTATAAATAGACAGACTTTGTAATTTAGTCATGCAGATTTGAATACCGCCCCCCCAAACAACAACAACTTCTCTCGATTCAGGAGGAAGTTGATTTCAGGAAGACTTTTGATT